CCTCGGCAGGGCCTGACCAAATGATATGACCCATGGGCCAGATATTCCCCACCCCTGGATTAAATAAACATAGACATCTAGCTTTGCCTTCACCACAATCAATAAAACAAAATCAAATAAGAACAACAACAGCAGCAACAAAAACACCAACAACACACATTTTCTTGTCTAAGCAGCAATTGAGTATAAGTGGCCAGAGGTGATGAAACTTACCAGAAAAAGGTCACAATTAGCATCTTAAAAGGTGGGAGTTGTGTCTGGCTAACCCAAACTGAGCAAAACCACTGTAAGACATCAATTTCAAAGTCTGGAAAATGCTTTGATATTTACAAAAATGGTATTGTGAAAATGTAGACCACTGACTAAAATTCAACCTAATACCCCAGGATGTTACCATCTTCTAATAACCTTCAAACAACAAAATAACCAAAGAAATTGCTTTGAGTTGCCATAACTTTACATAAATATCATGTTGAATTCATAGACATTAGAAACCTGTGAGCAATATTCTGTAAAGTCCCATAGATAGCTCTCCCTGAAGCCTGGACAACAAACCATGGGCTTTTTGTTTCTTTTAGAACAAAATTAATATTTTGTTAATGATATTTTTATGTAATCCTAAAAGAACTCTCTCAATATCGACCTCCTTTCACAAACATTTGCCTTCACTCTGAGGAACGGGTGACATCGCCACCATTAACGCACTCCAGTGAGGGTCAAACACTTCCTCTTTTAATCACCAACAGTTTTGAAACCACACATTGAGAAAAGGGACATTTCTCATAAGAAAACACGCTGTTAGCTCAGACAAAGGCTGTTTGTGAGGTTGCCTCCTGCTGGAATTGCCCCTTAGCAAGACAGATGCTGGAAAGAGAAGTTCAAGAGCCATTCTAATCACATCCAGTTTTGGTTACTTCCTCTGCTTGCTTCCAGCACAGCTGTTCAGAATAAAACAAAAAGAGGAAATGGGGACATCCAGACTGAATATTATTAGAGCCTTTAGAAAACCCTCTCAGGAAAGGAACCTGTGACATCACAGAAATGTGTCATCTTCTTTATGGAACTCTGCTCTCAAAGCAGAATATCTGCAAAGTCTTAATACAGATGATTAATACTGACACACAGCTAGCCTACAAGGCAATAACTGAGGAAAAGGCAACATTCCGGCAAAGTCTTTCCAGAAACTAAAATGTTATTAACTCAACCAATGTTCCTTTTAACCAACCAAATAAACAAGGGCAAGATATGGTACGTTTTGGCACAGAGAAGCTCCCAGCAAAACTCTGGACTGAATCTCGGGAATGGGTGTTTTAATTCTTCTGTATAATTTTTGGCAATCAGTCTAAATTCACTTCATTCCTCTAAATTAGGGGTGTCGAACTCAATCAGAGAAGGGGCCAAAATCTAAAATCCAGCCTAAATCGCGGGCCGAATGGTTTACTGAACAGTCATAAACTGTCATTGTGATGGAAATGCAGCGGAGTGCAGTGATGACAGCGCGGTGCGGGCCACATTGCAAGACCTGGCGGGACGGATTTGGCCCGCGGGCCTTGTGTTTGACACGTGCTCTAAATCTTAGTATCTTCATTTTTAAAAAAGGATGGAGATGATTCTTATTGGTTTTAGACATCTATGTCGTATGTCCCATAACACATAAAAGAAATCTATTTATATGTAACTCATTACCTCTACTAATGCCCAACTAATACTCCTTTCTCCAGTAAATCTTACTGCTAAAGATGCCATCAATTACCCTGTTTCCATACCAAGAAATTTGTTAGTTGTTCTCTCCTATTTTTCATGACCCAGTCCTCCCTTAAGTAGTTCAATATAGTTTCACTAGTTATTTGGATTTTGTAAAAAAAAAAAAAAAAAAAAAATCTAGTCCCATTGATTTAATAACTGACAAGTTTTTATCAATCTTCCCAGTAAAATTTTTAGCCCAGCTCTGTCCTCCCTTATTCAAGCATTTGCAAGAGCATCTTAGCTGGTCTTCAGGCATTATGTTGCAGTATACTGCCCTCGCCTACATCTAGGTTTTTCAAAGTCACCTGAGTCTATTCTTAACCGATATCTAGTATACATCTCTACTTGAAATCCTTCAGTCATTCCTCACTGGACATAGAATAAAGTCTAGCTACTTAATGCATTACCCAGGGTTCTTCAGGACCATTTCCTAAAACAAAACTCCACCTATCACATCCTGGAAAAATTCTTTATTTTTAATACTCACCTGAATGCTTTCAAACCTCTGTGCTGATATAAATCTGTCCCCCAAGACTGAGAAGCATCTCCCCGTGTACTTCTACTGCTAGTTGGCCTCTCTGTACCTCAGAAGTCATTCTTAGTATTTGCTTCTAGGGGAGGAAGTTGGTAAGTCCAGAGAGAAAAATGTTAGATCATCATTCCTTTTTCTCCACACTAACAAAATTAAATTCCATTTAAGAAGAGGAGGTACAAAAGGAAAACACCACCTGGAAACAATAATGAATTGACAGCCACAATTCCTTAATTTTGGTTTGTTCAAAGGCTCCATCTTCATGGGTGTATTGAAGGGTATGTTTAGTTTAATCTCCTAGTAACAATAAATAAATAAATAAATAAATAAATAAATAAATAAATAAATAACTTCATAGTTGAATATCACTCTGTAATTTATAAGCAGAGGATTCTATGGAAAAGAAATTACATTCTTGAAACTGTGTCCCTGGGGACTGTTAGAGCTATACTAGTAGTTGTCATTAGTATCAGGAAGGCAATAGGAAATATTCCTGAGAATCTAGGTGCTATGGGAAGAATACGTCTAAGCAACAAGGTGCACAGGTTCCAGTGAGACCATGGGAAAGCTGCTTAACTGTTCAGGACCTCAAATTTCTGACCCAAAAATGTGGGGACACAGTTAGACAATGAGTAAAAACATGACAGCCTCTCTTCCAATCTGTAGAAACATTTGCAGCAATGGTACCAGAACTAATTGTGTATGTTCTTCTATAGGATGAAGGTATAGGTAGGTTGGCTGATACTTCAAGTTGTCCAGTTTTCTTAGGACAGTCCTAAGTTATGTATGTTGTTTTAATTTAATTATTTTAAATGCCTCCTTGCAGTTTTGAAAATGTCTAATTTGGGCTAATGAATTATATCGTATCTGAATTATGAGCTTTTATTTTTTTCCTGAAAATTTTAGGAAATTTTGGCTTTTGCTAAATTCACAGATTATGGAGGAGAATGGGAGTTTAGAGCTGAACTAGAAAACCTTTCCTCCCTTTAAATATCTTAAAAAGCATGTTTCTTTTTAGGATTTTCAATCTTTTAGCATAAGTCTAAGATTCATATAGCCTTTTAAAAATTATTGTCAGGTACTATTTATTTTGGTTAAAGTTTACAGATTCCAGTGGGACCCTCTCTTTTGTCAACGAATGTCATTCTTATTGCACCTCTCTATTGAAAGCTCTCTCGCTAATGGTAAACAAAATACATATACCATTTTACCATCTGCAGGATTGATAGCATTTAATTAGGAAAGCCAGGAGTGCCAGAGGTCATTTTCCAAGCAGCACCTCAGGCAAGAGACCCCCTCCCAACCTCTGCTGTGACTAATGGTTCTGCAACTCATTTTAAGTTCATTGCATCCCAAATTCCCCCTAGAGAGTTGGAATTCAAATCAGGTGAACAGATGCTCACAAATTAAGGTACTTTATCTATAGACCTACAGGGATCATGAGGTGATAGGTGGAGAGGAGACAGATGAAGGAACAAACAAGAAATTTTGAAACCATTAATTTCTTGTCTCCCTTTTCCCTTATCCCTTCTCATCTCCATGGACCCCCTCCTTTCCCCTCTGCTATCATTGCTGCCCATCACTATATTATTTTTTCCACAACCTTTCAGTCTCCATAGACGGAGAGTTCTGTTATTTGGCAGGCAGTCTCAGTTGAGTTAACGAGGGACATGTGTTTTTAGGTGCCAAAAGTGAATCTTTTTCTCTGTTTCTGTCTTCAGAATCATAAAGCTTGCTCTCAGTACATTGACTGAGAAACAGAGCTTATAAACACTGAATGTTGCTTTTGTAAGTTATGGTTCAGCAAACAGAGAAATTGACTTTATTCTGGGTAGAAGTATTTCTGTAACAACAGTTGCCAGTTCCTTCCCTCCTTGACATTTTCTCTAAATTCACAGGCTTTGACCCAGACTCGTAAAATGAGGATCATTCAGGCTTTTCTCCACCCAAATCCTATGTCCCAACCATTGTTTCCCAATCAAAATTTGACCATGGATCTTATCAAACATCTGATTTTCCCCTAGAAAACAGGAAACAAGAAAGCTATTAAAAACATACATTTAGCCGAAGCCAGTTTGGCTTAGTGGTAGAGCGCTGATCTGTGGACTGAAAGGTCCCGAGTTCGATTCCAATCAAGGGCATGTACCTTGGTTGTGGGCACATTCTCAGTGGGGAGTGTACAAGAGGCAGCTGGTCGATGTTTCTCTCTCATCGACGTTTCTAGCTCTCTATCCCTCTCCCTTCCTCTCTGTAAAAAAATCAATAAAAATATATTTTAAAAAAAAACACATACATTTATATCTTATTTTTATTCCTTTTTTTTTTAAAGCTTCCATTCATAGTTAGTACTTCTTAAGTGAGAACTATTGCCGCTATGTCAAGAAACATTGCCTTTGGGGATTTTTTTTTTTTTTGTCTCTGTATATTAGAATAAGTGTCACTGTCTCATGAAAAGCATCCACAGTTCATCATTAAACATTTTAATGAATGCTCTCTTGGGCATGTTATATTTCCTTCCATCTGCCTTTCCCAGTTAAACTTTAATATACTACATATTTTCCTTTACAAAACAATAATGATTTGTAACCTTCAAGTGGAGCTTTCAGAGAAGTTGTAGAAACCCATGTTTGCCTATCTTTCATCATTCTTCACATCACATTATTTCACTGGTTAAACAGTGCTTTAAAATGCTCCAAATTTCCTTTTTGCATTCTGATTACAGCAGCTCCAAGTTTGCCTCAAGAGAGCCATTCCTCATCTGCCTGTGCTGCAGTGCTGGGCTGGGCTGTGTGAGCACATGAGGTAAGCTCGTTCAAGCTCATCTTGTCAGGACTGTCATATCCCTGAGACTTCACACAACAGCATTTCCCCTCGTGTGTTCTCAGCAATGCCACACATCAGGCGATTATAGAATTCAATATGCAGTATCATACAAAAATTTCCAACTTTTGCATAATGTAGAACATAAAAATAAACAGACTAGAAAAATAGTGGCTCACTTCATTCTACTCAAGGGTGAAAATCATAGCAAAAGGAAAAATAATATATATGTTTTATCCATGATAAGGGTTGGGAACAGGAGGGTGTGAGATAGCATGAAAGCCACATTTCCTCTAGCCTCTCAGAAAACATCTTTGTTTGCCATTGTAGTGTTACCAAGGCAACATTAGCTACTTATGACAGCACATGGAGATGGCTATCACAGGCCTGATAGCACTGTGTTTAAATGTTATACAGATTCTTTTTATTTTTATTTTTTTATTTTTTTTATTTTTATATATTTTATTGATTTTGTACAGAGAGGAAGGGAGAGAGATAGACAGCTAGAAACATCGATGAGAGAGAGCGAGTCATCGACCAGCTGCCTCTTGCACACCCCCCACTGGGGATGTGCCCGCAACCAAGGTACATGCCCTTGACTGGAATCGAACCCGGTTCCTTTCAGTCCCCAAGCCGACGCTCTATCCATTGAGCCAAACTGGTCTCGGCTATACAGATTCTTTTTAATTGGTATTTTTAATGGTGACATAATTGCAGATGTCTCACTCTCCCCCTCTTTGCCCACCATTATTCATCTCTCTCCCTTGGTCTTTACCAAACTACTGTCCGTGTCCATGGGGTATGTATATATGTTCTTTCACTCATCCCTTCACCTTCTTTACCTTCACCCCCCGGCCCTCTCCTCTGGCCAGTCTGTTTCATGTGTCCATGCTTCCAATTCAATTTTGTTCATTAATTAATTTTTTAATCAATTTAATTAATGCCACATTTTAGTGAGATCATGTTGTATCAGTCTATCTCTGAAATGTATGAATTCCTGTCTTTTCTTCCCTACTCCCTAAGGGAAAGGCAAAAGAATCACTGGTAGCCAAAGACTGAAATAAAAAGAAATCTAGATTATAGCCTATATTAAGCTACATTCGGATCATTCCTATTTTATTTTTAGATCAATAGTTGTGAATTGAGTGTGCTTTGCGGTTCACAGGTACAGTATTCACACATTTGTGACCCAACTTCCTCATCTTCCATCTCTACCAAACGTCTCAAGAAGAAATAATAAATTTGATTGTCAAGGGAAGATGAAAAGGAACCATCAGCAACCTTTTCCTGAACCACCTCAAACTTTTAGGGCATACCCTTGTGCAAGCTGTATTGGCATGAACTTGTTCCTTTACATTTCTATCTGGCCTCAACTCCCTTTGACCATGGAACTTTCTGACCACTACTCTGAGAAGTAGGAGGGACAACCATCAAGAAGAAGTGCAGAGGTAATAATGTCAGTGTGTGCTTGGGGATGTGGGCAGGGGGAGCAGATGGGAAGGAAAAGCCTTAATTTATTTCAGCTCACACCTGTCAGAATGGTTAACATCAATAAATCAACAAGCAACAAGTTTTGGTGAGGATGAGGAACAAGGGGTACCTTTGTGCACTGTTAGTGGGAATGCAGATTGGTGCATTCCCACTACAAAGGTTCCTCAAAATTAAAAAAGTAAAATAAAAATAGAACTACCTTTTGACCCAGCAACTCCCCTTCTGGGTATATATATCTGGAAAAAAATATATACTAAGCCAAAAAGATATGTGCATATACATCCCTACGTTCATTGCAGTGTTGTTTCCAATAGCCAAGATAGGGAAATAATCTAAGTGCCTATCAGTAGACAAGGGGATAAAGAAATGGCACATATTTAATCACACACATCACTATAGAGAAGTGAGAGAAATGGGAGATTAATGTTAAAAGCATCCTGGGCCTGTCTCCTAGCAGTTAAATATGGACTTAAAAAAACAACCTTACAGTATAAAGAAATTATGCCAAACAAGTACATTTGCTTTAAGATCCCTAAATAAAAGATTCAGTCAAAACCGGTTTGGCTCAGTGGATAGAGTGCTGGCCTGCGGACTCAAGGATCCCAGGTTCGATTCCAGTCAAGGGCATGGACCTTGGTTGCGGGCACATCCCCAGTAGGGAGTGAGCAAGAGGCAGCTAATCGATGTTTCTCTCTCATCGATATTTCTAACTCTCTATCCCTCTCTCTTTCTCTCTGTAAAAAATCAATAAAAATATTTTTTTTAAAAGATTCATAGTCTAGAACAGTACTTGCAAAAAATAAAAAAAATAATGATTCATAATTTGGCATAAAATATTTTTCTACTTTAACTTCTTAGTTAAAGATCTGATTAAGTGGGTGATTTATTTTATTTTTTATTTTCATACAATAATAGGTCCTAAGTTGGTGTGAATTTAAAATCTACATATCTGGTACAAATTCAGGACTCACAAATCAGTGCTCACAATTCAGTGCTCACAAAACTGAACCTTCCAAATCTGGTATACTTTTTAAGAATTTTCTAAAGGGTTCACCTAACGTTAATTTGCCTGCCTTATTATCAGCATTATGGCATTTGCCATGTTAGAATTTTAGTCTGATGGATACTTCAAAATTATGCAGTCATACTATCTCATTCTATGCTCATTTATAAAGGAATTATTTATTATGACATTTTTAAAAGACAGAAACCATTTAGAATTTTACTATACTTTGAATATAATTATTTCAGAGTCTAACATAAGGTTATAAGTCAATTAACTTTCAAATATTTCAAACAAACTTTCATTTAGTTCATTTATTGACTACTGACTTTGTGCCAGAAACTGGGTAGGCACTATAAATACAGATCCAGGCAATTAATGGAGATTAGATGGTAGGGGACCATGAACAGAAGCAGGAAGACCAATTAGGAGACTATTGTAATAATAGCATAAGCAAAAGGTAACTGTAAAATTGACTAGATGATAGGTAAGGTATTGAGTTAGTTTGCTTTAGATATATTTTGTTAGAATTCACAGAATATGCTAATGGCTAGAATGTGGAATGTGAGGAAAAGAAAGAACTCAAAGATGATTTCAGAATTGTATTTGCTTTTTAGCTGTTATAACTGAAAAAAAAAAAAAAAAAAACTGCCCCTTATATTGGATGGAGAAGACTAAAGTAGATAAATTTGAAACGCGGGGGGGGGGGGGGAGTCAAGTGTGTTTTATGGGCATGATAATTGGGTAATTTACTTAGGGTTCAATGGAGAGATCAGGATCAGAGAAGTTGATAGCTTATAAATAGGATTTTATAGCATCCAAAGGTGTATTTTTAGCCTGCAACTATTCTTAGTGCCTTTGATGCATTGATTTATTTAGCTTTCAAAGCAATGCACCCAATCAAGAAAGTACTTTAATTATTATAATTTGCAAATGAATAAACTAAAAGCAGTGACTGTGTAATGTATCCTAAGTCACATTGCTAATAAATGTCAAAGCAGAGTTTGAACCCCAGCAGTCTGAATCCACATTCTTATTCTCAACATCATGCTGCTCCTATTTATGTAATATGATTCTGTCCCACATATATATACGTGTGTATGTGTGTGTTAGGTATATATATATATACCTAGGTATACCTAGGTATATATATATTAGGTATATATATATATATACCTAGGTATACCTAGGTATATATATATTAGGTATATATATATATAATAATTATATTATATATATGTACCTACCAGCTGACCAGCCGACCAGCTGACCAGCTGGTGTCTATAATGCACAATGACCACCAAGGAGCAGACACTCAACACACAGGCATGGAAACATGCAACAGACTGATGAATCTCAGAGGGAAGGGTGCAAAGAGATTAACCAAAGATTTTATATGCATACTAAATGCCTGGTGCACACATTCGTGCACCAGTGGGGTCCCTCGGCCTGGCCTGCGGGGATTGGGCCAAAATTTGCTTTCCAACATCCATGAAGGGTCCCAGGTTGCCAGGGGGTATTTATGAATCCATGCACCAGGCCGCTGGTAGAATTATGATTTAGTTGAACAAATAAAAGTAGCACACATAAAAAACTATAGATTAGTTAGAGACAAACATATCTTGGCAATGACTATGAAGCAGAGGAGTTTAGAATATGTCTGAGCCTCCAAGATAATAGAACACAGCAATAATTAGTGCTTCATATGATTAAATTACACACTGAAGAACTAAGATTTTAGCAGGTTCCATAGATAATCAATTTATAGGCATAGATTAGCTTAGTCATGGGTATATTAAACTTATAATAGCTAATCATTCAGATAATAGAGGCCTGGTGCACAAAATTCAAGTACGGGGGGTGGGGGGTGTGTGAGGGAGGTCCCTCAGGCTGGCCTGCATCCTCTCTAATCTGGGACCTCTCAGGGGATGTCTGACTGCCAGTTTAGGGATCTGGCCTAATCCAGCATTCTGACATCCCTCTTGCAATCTGGGACCACTGGCTCCTAACTGCTCACCAGCTTGCCTGATTGCCTCTAACCATTCTGTCTGCCTGCCCTCCCCTGATGACCTGATTGCCTCTAACTGCTCTCCCCTGCCAGCCTTATCTCACCCCTAACTGCTTGCTCCCCTACCAGCCTGATCACCCCTAACCGCCTCTGCCTCTCCCCACCACCATGACTTTGTCCAGAAGGAAGTCATACATGTCTGGTCAACCCTCTCTAGTTAGCATATTAGCCTTTTATTAGTTTAGATTGTGCACACCTTGCTCTACTGAGTAGGCCTTTTGTAAAAGCTCACTGCCTTTTAAGTATTTCATAATCACTCTTCATCAAATAGCAGTCTTTACTGCTACTAAAGGTTCATTTCTTTAACCTTGTTTTCTAAGTAAATAATTATAGTCCATGTCTACTTCATTCTACACAATAAGCAAGAACTTAGGAACTTTGTGGGAATTTCAATGAACTCAACATATACTTATTGAGCACCAAAATTGAGAGTGATAATGTACTTAGCCTTGTGAGAGTATCTTTGTCCCAAGATTTTGCAAACTCTGTGCCAGCTTGTGCCAATTCATTTCTCTCCTTTGACAGTAAAACAGAAGTTTCTAACTTCCTGATGAGGAAGTACTTCTACTTTCCCTATACAAGGATGATCACCTAAATTTTATACCCCTGCTGTTAAATATTGCCTTTGCTGACAGTGCTGAAAGTTTGCGTTGTGAGAATGGACTCCCTAGAAATATTTTTCCAACACAAAAAATCATTGGAGTGAAGTAATGTGTACAGTAGCAATGAATGTTTCTCTTGGATCTTCAGGTCAGTGTTCAGCATGGCCCACTGACCAAATCCAGCCCATCACCTGTTATTGTATGGCCCATGAGCTAACAATAGTTTTTCTATTTCTTACATATCCTCTATGGCTATTTTTACACTCTACAGCAGTAGCACTGAGTATTTGTGACAGAGATCATATGTCCTGAAAATGTTTGTCCTTTAACAAAAAAAAAAAAAAAAAAAAAAAAAAAAAAAAAAAAAAAAAAAAAAAAAAAAAAAAAAAAAAAAAAAAAAAAACAATTATTCCCAACCCTTACTCTATATACCTGAAAAAAATCTCAGCCATACACATTGTGGAATGTAAAAAAATAATTATTTGTTTTTACTTTTGTCCTTGAAGATCATAGCAATATGTGGCAGAAACTTGTAAGAGAATCATCTTTTTTTGTTAATTCTCACCTGAGAATATTTTTCCATTGATTTTTAGAGATAGTGGAAGGGAGAGAGAGAAAGAGAGAGAAACATTGATCTGAGAAAGACAGAGATTGGTTCCCTTTGCACATTCCTTAACTAGGGCCAGAGATCAAGCCTGCAACAGAGGTGCATGCCCTGGACTAAAATTGAACCCAGGACTATTCAGTCTGCAGACCAATGCTCTTTCCACTAGGTTAAACTGGCTATGGCAAAAGGATCATCTTTATCAATGATGAATTAGAAATAGAACAGCATTGAAATGAACCAAGACATCATTGAAAAAAAGTGTAATTGGTGACCATCTTAAGAGAGGGCCTCTTAATGACTCTCCACTCTTCCTTTAAGGGAACTCATTACTAATTGTTTCATATAGAGAATTTCAGGGTTCTACACTAATGCATCAGCGTTAGACATTTTCTAAAGAAGAATATGGAGAAGAAGGCTTTGCTGTCCAAGTACCGAGTTATTGGGCTTAACACAAGCAAGATGATTATTTTACAATTGCATAGTACTTTGACTAGTCACAACATTTAAAATTCAACTATCTCTTGTCATCCCCACAATTAAAGTTGGCAAACTAAGTATATTTATACTTGATTTAATGAGTAAACTGGGACATAGTGTATAATGAGAAAAAAAGGGGGGTCTTGACGTCAAAACCTCTGACCTTCTTCCCACTGAACTCTCTAAGCAACAGGGTCTCTTATCTAGAAATGGAAGTGAGAACCACTGGGATGTTTATTGTAAAAGCAAATTACTCTGTGATATACTATAGAAAAAGAAAGAAATAAAGTGGTTTGCTTGGATAAAGTAACATTTGGGAGGTGGGGAGTGGGGGGTGAGGGGTGGGGGAATCACCTGCCTTCCTGCCCTGTGTTCATCCCCATTAACCAAGGCTAGTGAGAGTGAAAATTGAAATCATTTGCTCTAGGAGCCCAGGGTTTTGGCCACCGAATGTGTTAAGCTTAGTTAGGATGAATTTCACACCAGCAGGCTCTGTGATCCACAACTGCATAGTCTCATCTTTTCCTCTAGCAAGTAGAGAGACAAGTTTTATACCCACCATCACAAATGTTATTGTCCAAGATTTTGTTTTACAATACAGCTGCTTATATCAGGAAGTATCAAAATTACAGTGTTCCAGGGGCCACTTGATCTATATATTTTTAAATAAGTTGAAAATTTACTGAATAATTTAAAATAGCCATATCTTCAGACTTCAATGAATTGTTTGTACGATGATGTTGTTCTTCATTACTTGCCTGAATGCACCCATTAAGCTCAGAGTGAACAATAAATCCCCAAAAAGCACAGACATATACCTGACTCAGCAGGAAGCCCCCATTTCAACCACCCCAGGATCTG